GGTGTGCGATGTTCTCGCCCGCTGAGAGGTCGGATAAGAGCAAAATCGAATGCTCCTGGGGAAGAGTATTCGGCGAGAGGAGCCGCCTTAGGGTGAATTTACCTGTTGTTTATGCATTGTCGCGGCCGTAAGGAAAATAACGCGAGTAACGAAATTACTTCCGCTTCTTTCTGGTCAATATCGCGGCGCGCGCTATACGCGCAAGTCGCAAACCCCGACAGACAGACAGGAGAGGTCGCTCTCTCGTCGGGAATGCTCTCGATCGTTATTACGGCGATAAATGAGACGGGTATAAAAAACGGGGCATAAATGAGACAACTGCTTTATGCGCACTGCCGAATTCCTACTTTGTTTAATGTCGCACTTTCCTCGTCCTTCATTGCTATCGTACAACTTTGTACGTTGCCCATGATTGCACGGGGAATTTTGGCACATCGTCAGTGAGGTAAATGTTTTTTTTATATTCGATGATGTTATGTTTCATAATGTATCACGTATTAGATGCACTTTGCGTCTGGCGAAAGGATGTAATCAGGGTACAATATGCCGTGCATTATACACCGGAGTGGATGTATAAATTTTTGTTAACAATCTGGACGCTTTTGATTGTGCATATTAAATTCCCCTGTCCCTTCGCGCTCTGAAATTTTTAGATCGTTTTTCATATATTTATACATCGCTGGTATATCTGCTGCGAAGCGTAACGTTACACGCAGATGTCATTAAATATGAGTAATCCACAATATTTTGGCGTTTAATTTCCGCGCGAGCTCATTATAATTATACAAGATAAATCAGGATACGATGATGTGTTCGAGACGGCCATTAACCTACTTTCGCGGACAAGTGTCTCCCGTGGGATATTTATATATTTTGCGTTTTATTTATGTACTTGCGCACATGCGTGTAAACGTGAATGGACGCTGATTGACGATAACGAAATTACGATAACAAAGTAGCAAGGGAAATCTGCGTGATGGCCCTTGGCAAGAAAATTAATTGCGCAATTACACGAAATTAGGCATTTCAAAAGAAAAAAAAGAAAAGCATTGTGTGAGAGAAGTAACTTTTTCGTCCGTGTTGCGAGAAAAAGGCAACGTCCATTGCTTGCACGTCTCTACGTGAGAAACATAAATTAAGTACGTTACAAATGAACGACGCGGGACGAAATCTCGCAACAATACTAAAGATCCCCGAGTCTTATTATTCGACTTTTCCATGAAAGTTTCCTTTGATTTTTTTTTTTTTTACGATAGCGAGCGGAAAAATAAAGTTGTTCAAACGGACCGGAGGGAAGAAAATACCAAAAAGAAATAATTTCAGAACAAGCGGAATCACCTGAATTTTAGAAGATTTTACTCTATGGCTTCAAGAGAATTCCTCTAAGATTAAGAAGAAAAGATTATAAACACATTATTCTTAAAGATAGAGGGACTATATGTTAAATGTATGATGCAAATCTTATTGATTTTAATGTAAATTTTCTCTTATAAACAGATTATTTAATTTTTTTTAAGAGGATTATTACTTATTCTTACTGTACTTTATTCTTGCTGGTTATACTAGTTAGTTTGAGAAAAAATTATTATAATGTATAGCGAAAAGTAAAATAAATAGATGTAATTCCGACTCCAGTTCTACAATAAGTAGGCACGAATGAAGTAAGATCACCGTAACAAATAAATTTCCAAACAATTTTATTATAGACTTCATAGCTACAAAGACGTTCGTCATAACAAATTGTATGAAACATAGTTAAAAGAAAGAATATATTATTCAACTTCTTGCAACGGATTATAAACTGTATTTGACCAAATATAGGTAAATTATCTTTGTTATATGTTGCAGCAACGCATACATACCTTTTTTAAAAAGCGTTCCAAATATTCCGAGCCACGAGCATATGATTATTTTTTCGTTTATATCTGGAGATAGAGCATGAGACTGAACTAAAGAAACCGATATTCAAATTAACATCCTCTTCATATAAGAGGGAAATTATATTGATATAAAAAAAAATCCTCTCGAAGTGAGAGAAAAACAGTTGGAATGATATCTAATAAATTTTAGACTCACTTTAGTCGTTTTATCGAAGAAGGAGTCTCCTCTATAAAAGGCTCCGCTTAAAATATAAGACTATTGGAAAAATCAGTTTGTAAAAATAGAACACTTTTTTTGGGTGGGAACTCAGAAGAGAGAGAGAGAGAGAGAGAGAGAGAGAGAGAGAGAAGGATCGTGATTAAACGTAATCAGACGCGGTGTGTGAAATCGCGCTGTGTGAAAGCACACGCGCGCCGTTACTATTCAAACTTCACCTTCGCGTATTCTTCATCTACGGGGAGGAGATCGGGGCGTATCTCGAATCGCTCGGTCATTCCAATCACGTAGTCGGGTTACAGCGGACCTACGAAGATCCCAAGTAGCTGCCAGTGCAGTTTCACGCTTTACAGTTCGCGTGCTCGCGCTCGTTGATTTACGAACGGTGCACGCGCGCGACGCGCACGGCGAATGCCGCGGCGCGGGTTTGCCGTTGTCGGTGCAACAATCGTTTGTATGCATTACTCTTTGTGCATATAATCTAAGCAGCGGGACGAAGATGGTCCCCGTTACACTAAGACGATGCACTCCGATGTTCTCCGGCCGGGAAACGCCCGCGCCTTCTCCGCTCCGACTCTCGACGATTATTGCGAACCATCGCCGATGCGGAAGACTACAAATTATACAATATCGCCGGCAGTCGTTGACGATATTTCATGGTATACCGGCGGAGGCAAAGCCGCGGTAACTCTCATATTTTTGCGAAGCTCCGTCCTCTCCGTGAGATGATTCACGTCGGAAGCGTGCGTTCTCGTCCGCGAGAGACGAGCGCGATTCCATCCTGCTTTTCCATTAATCCGGCATTATCGAAGCAGGATACCGGTCTCCTCACTCGATTAACTCGATGCCTCACAACGGTCCTTTGTAACGTCGACCGCACGCGTGTGTGCACCATTTTCGGCTATAGTTTCGCGATTGTAATCAGCAGCTTGCACTCTCTCTCTCTCTCTCTCTCTCTCTCTCTCTCTCTCTCTCTCTCTCTCTCTCTCTCTCTCTCTCTCTCTCTCCTCCGCTCAACGGACGGCGAGATTTGCTCCGCCGCGCAGAGAGCGGGCGACTTTATATTTAACGACGCGGAAGAACGACGGAAAATGTAAGATTTGATGAGTCGGAAAAGTGACGTCGTCAAGGCGATACCGCGCCTCCGGAGGAAGAATCTAAAGAGAGTGACGTTCGCGAGACAAAAGAGCGCAACAGCGACTCCAATTCGCGAGCATATCGTCGAGCGACAGAAATGATCTCGATCTGTCGTTGTTTCCGTTCTACAAATTTACTCGATACAATTGGAAAGCGCATCCCTCGCTTCACCGCCGTCGCTGACGGCGGCGGCGACGCCGGCGACAGTGGCAGCGGGCGTGTTACACCTCGAGCGCTACGTCGCAGTAGAAACGACCAATATCGGGCCAGACAGATGTTCCTCCGTCGCGCCGCGCGTGAATTATCGCCGTCGCTTCTCCTGTGCAAATTCCTCCCGCCCGGCGTTAGGAAATATTGAAGAATTTACATATCCCGCGTCTCTCTCTCTCTCTCTCTCTCTCTCTCTCTCTCTCTCTCTCTCTCTCTCTCTCGCTCTCCCTCCCCTCCCCTCTCTTCCTCCTTGTGGACGTGACTGCTCGTGACGTAACTAACAGGCTCTTTTGTCTGCTTTATTTTTCATGTTCCCCACCGGGACATCGACTGGCTGCTCTCGGCTTCCACTGGCTGCTGATAACTCGCTGATGGTGTTGGTGACGGTGATGGTGATGGTGACGTCGGGCCTCTTAACTACGACGGTGATGGGCGTCGCGATGATGTATTAACACGTTGGTGGTGGTGACATTCACATCGGCATGCTTCTTCACTCGCCGATCGGCGATCTGCGAATGTCGCGCGTCTCTGCGCTTGAAACGCTGAACTCGGCACGATAATTACTACTAACTGCGGCGTTCTGCCCTTTCTCTCTCTCTCTCTCTCTCTCTCTCTCTCTCTCTCTCTCTCTCTCTCTCTCTCCCTTTCTGCGCTCCGTATTCACACACGCATTAACACTCGCGCACACTCGTTATCGTACTCGCGCGCAACATCGAAATGGCCTCAATCGCTCTTATTACGCCGCGGACCGCATTTCGGCGACCCCCGTTATCTCATGCCGGTTGTTATCACGCACTGTTACAATCACTTGGCCGTTTCCTCGGCAACTTCTGCGCGCCACCCTTTATTGGCGGCCACTCGCGCGACATTATCACGCGCGAATCTGCATTTACATGCCGGAACCGTCTGCGGTTCCGTTCGTAAACTCCATCGTCACGAACGATCCGCGCGCGTTAAATTCCACAAATGTCGCGCGCGCTCGCTGCGTTAAACCACGCGCGTATCGTGTGTAAACGAAACGACGCCGCTCTCGCGGCTGAATTTGGGCCATTGATACATCTGTGCCCTCCTCCCCTTCCCCGCCCGTCCCCCTGCCCGCTTGCTGAACCAATCCCGGCTGATCCACTCGTTAATTACTCTCAATCCCCTTAAATTGATCGCCGGTGCGGTGGCGACGCCATTACGGCTCATTCATCGATCTTCGATACTCGGCGACCTCTCGGCTCGCCTTTTCTTTCGCGCGCTCGTGTAACTTATGCATGTGGCTTTCGCGTTATCCTTGTATACCCCCCCCCCCTCGGGCCACGCTCGATCGCTCCGCTCACGCTCACGCTCACGCGACGCTTTTCGTCGGCGCCGTCTTTCAATTGAATTAACGTTTTGTCGTTGTGATAATTACAAATGTGATAATTACACTTTTGCGCGTCGGTAACGCCATCAACAACCACGCGAATCCGACCTGACCCCCCGGTCGACCGTCGAATTCAATTCCAATTTTATGTCGGTCGCGTCGCGTGCGACGGGATATTTTTTTTTTTTCGTTTCTAACTCGGCAGCCCTGTTGTCAGGCACCCTGAAGACCTATCAGCGCGCGGCCTGCGACGAGGAAACGATGACATTGAAATGCCCACCCGGCACGACCATCTCTGTCGAACACGCTCAATATGGAAGAGCGGGAATGTACGGCATCAGCAAATGCAACTCGTCCGTTCCTCCGATGATCGCCGGGGACACATCGACGAATCACACATGCATCTGGCCGCAATCACTGCAGGTATGTGCCAATGAAATTCTCATTCCGCGCAGGTAGGTGTCGATCGAGTAACATGCGCGCGCGCGCGTCCGCGGTTTTCAGGTTTATAAAAATCATCGCCGCGCCAACACCGGAATATTTATTCTCTAGTCGCTGTAGTTAACGCGCGCGGCGGAACGTACAAGTCGCAAACGGACGTACACGTGCAAATTGGAAATGGAACACCAGGAGAATTGTAATGCCCTCCGATGACTATCCTCCGAGTCTTCCTCTCTTGTAAAACGGACTTTCCGCGTCCGTTTTAGTTTCTCTAAAGACTGGCTTTCAAGAATTAGGGCGTTTCAAGAATCAAAGGTCGCAACGTTCTGAGTGTCGCACCCAAAAAAAAGTAATTTCAAAAGCGGAATCAAAATCGTCAAGCAGAATCGGGCGGATTTCGGCTGATCGGAGCGAGAGAGACATTCAAAAGAAAGTAATTTCACAACAAGAGGAATCATCTAAATTTTAGAGGATTTTATTCTTATACGAAAGAAGAAATAGACTTTTTTACTTTATTTACTATTAAAAATATATTACTATAATAGTGCCCTAACTTTTGTTAACTTGTCGACTTTTGGAAATTTCAAAATTATTAAATTAACAAAAGTTAGGGCACTATTATAATGTATTCTTGATAGTAAATAAAGTAAAAAAGTCTAATACTATTTTTTTTTCGACGAATAGATAACGAGACATCGTAAGTTAAATGTTGAAAAAGTTACCAAGTTTTCCTTAACTATTTCAAAAAATATTAGGCAAATAAAAAAATGTTTCAAACAAAAGTTGTTAAAATTAATTGGTAGAAAAAGAAGATATAATAAAAAATTGGGCTTTTTGTTTTAAAAAATTAAGTTAACCTTCAACAGACCTTGAAAATGCCCTCCAAATAAAAAACTGATAATTCCATTCTCTTTCCCCTTCGAAATCATGGAATCACGTATTTTAACTTTTTATAATATCTTTTATAGTTTTCGAAATTTTTTAATGCGAATGTTAAAATGGGACACTGTATATGGTCTCAAGAGGATTTCTCTAATATTAAGAGGGAAATATTATAAACACATTATTCTTAAAGATAGAGGAATTATATGTTAAATATATAATGCCAATCTTATTGATTTTAATGTAAATTTCCTCTTATGCACAGATTATTTGATCTTTTTTTAAGAGAATTATTATTTATTCTTGCTATACTCTATTCTTACTAGTTATACTGGTTAATTTGAAAAAATTATTATAATGTATAGCGAAAAGTAATATATATAATATATATAGATGCACTTCTGGCTTCATTTCTACAATAAATAGACACGGATGAAACAAGATCATCATAACAAATAAATTTCCAATCAGTTTTGTTATGGACTTTATAGCTACAAAGATGTTCATTACAACCAATTGTACGAAACATAATTAAAAGAAAGAATATATTATTCAACTTCTTGCAACAACTATAAACTGACCAAATGTGGATAAATTATCTTCGTTATATGTTATGGCAACACATACATATATTTTTTAAAAAGCGTTCCAAATATTCTGATGAGCAGATATGGCTATTGTTTCGTTCATGTCTGGAGATAGAGCATAACTGAACAAAAGAAGCCGATATTCAAATCAACATATTCCTCTTCATATAAGAGGAAAATTAATTGATATAAGAGGGAATCCTCTTGAAGTAAGAGGAAAACAGTTAGAATCATATCTGATAAATTTTAGATGAATGGTTCACTTTAGCCACTTTGTCGAAAAAGGAATCCCTTTATCGAATCCCTTTTCTGTAAAAGGCTCTGCTTAGAATACGAGACTATGGGAAAAATCACTTTAGAAATAAAATACTTTTTTTTTGGATGCACATCCAACAGCGAAATGTATCTTCTGAGAATTGCTAAGGAACATATTTTCGTGATAAAAAAGCTTGTCCGACGGTGACACGTAAAGGTCGGCGAACGATAATGCTTCGCTAATTAACAATTAAACATCCACGTGATTATTTACGGAATGACAATTGCGAGTTATCTGCAGAATCGACTTTTGACGTCGATGCCCGCAAAGCGGCAGAGTTCAGCTTCGTCTAATCTACAATGAGAGATTCGCGTGTTATTATCGGACATCCGGTTTATACCATCGATATCGAGCGATCGGCGAATGGCCGACAAGTCGAGTCGAGTCGCACGGCGACGACGGCGAGAGATAAGAATATGAGACGCCGAGTGTGACGTACTCCTACGTAAGTTAAAAGACAGATCACACAGTCGGTATTTCTCGTGTAATAACGCAGCGTACAAACTTTGCAAATTCGCAAAACTTGCCAAGACATGATCCTCCTCCCGGCCCCTGCCCCGCCGCCCGGCCCCGCGGAAACTTTAATATTTGGACGTACTTTAGATTCCGATTATCTCCCGATTCTGCCTCTTCAGCTGCCGGAAGGAAGTTTCCCCGGTCTAAACTCCCTGTTCAATCCGAGACCGCCTAAATTTGGAAGTTCCAAAGAATCCGGACGCGCGCGCCGATCAAATATAGGCCACGTTATCTCCGTTTCATAACCGACATCTCGCCAACTCCCCCGCCCTCCCCGCCGAGAGGTATACAGCCGGCAGGGGCTTTTGCGGCGGGAGCTTTTGCGCCGTCGTTTACGCCTGCTCGATTTCCGCGACAACGCTTCTTCGTCTCGGCCTCTTCGCTCTTCTCAAACTTTATTCAGCGTCTTACATTTATTGGCTCCTAGCGAGCTCCCGTTTTCTAATCCAGAGGAGGGCGTATACGTGTACTTCCCCTCGCTCCCCTTCTCTATCTACTCTACTCCATTCTCTCTCTCTCTCTCTCCCCCCCTCTCTCTCTCTCTCTCGTTCTATCTTGCGTGAGTACCGAAGCGGAAAGAATCGTAAACCGGATCCACCCCTTCTGGGGTTAACCTTCGTACGCCTCAAGCCTCGTAAACCCTGCTCGGATGCGTGTGCTCCGAGCATGAATCGGAGTTTGGTCGTTTTTATCTTTCGGGAGATTTTACACAAGATCGAGATGGCCGCAATCTTCTCCTATCGCGATCATTCTCGACCGTCTTCCGCCTCACCCCCTCTTCCGCGACTCGCGCTCAATTCCTGCTTTCTCCGGGAGAATCTTCCTCTCTCTCTCTCTCTCTCTCTCTCTCTCTCTCTCTCTCTCTCTCTCTCTCTCTCTCTCTCTCTCTCTCTCTCTCTCTTTGTTTTCTTTCCTCGTTTCTTTTCTCTTCTTCTCTCGATGGAACTTTTAAAGAAACCTCTGCCTCTCTCGCCGCCACGGCACGAGTACTTAAAATTGTTATTCATACCGTATTTGTCAAGTTGGCAATTTTTTTTCTTCCGCAAACTTTCCTCCCCGGGAAGAGCGGAGGAAGATGTTGAATATGCGATGATCTGTGCAGTCTGTGCAAGTGTCAGCGCGACGGACGCGAACAAGGAGATTAGACGTTTCGTTTGCAGCATAATTTGCAGTCTCGGTTCAGCGGGCAACGGCAATTATTTTTCGTGCTTCTCTCTCTCTCTCTCTCTCTCTCTCTTTCTCTCTCCCCTTCTCTCTTTGTGCTTGCGCTCGATGCGATTTTCTTTCTTCCGCCTTTGTCAGTGTCAGCGAGTTTGATTTAAACGGAAAGGGAGCAAGTGCGCGAGAGAGGCGGTAGAAGCGCGCGCGAGTCAAACGTGAGTGCGAGCGGAGGGACGGAGGAGGAGGTCGACGGCGAAATTTTTGCTAGAATGTTAATCGAGCGAGTCGGCGAGCAGTCGGTGGAGCAGTGGATGAAGGAGAGGGGCGAGAGGAGGGGAGCTATCGGGCGCGCGATTTATTCTCTCAACAGGAATGCACCGGCGGTATAAACTCCGCGAGAAAAGTCCGCGCCGAGAGAATGCGCCCGCACGAAAACTTGTTTTCTTTGAGCTTAATTCACTGGCAATTATGGATACCGCGCGAGGGCGGAAAAAGAGATACAAGTGCTGCCGCAAGTCTGGCCTGAAATCTTGGCTCGCGAAATAATGGCAACTGACCCGAAAACGGCACCCCTGTGTTTTGCGAAGCGTGCAACTGACAAATTCGTTTGAAGCCCCGCGGGCCAAAGAGAGACGGAGTAGAGGGAGGGGGGGGGGAAGGAGGAAAAGAGGAAGCGACCCCAACAACGGTAAGCCCCGACGGTTTAACGAGGTTGCCGGCAGAGTAACATATTCTTAAAGTACGGCGCTCCCCAAATTGACCTCTTCTTCCGATATTAAATTACTGATCCTTTATGAAAGTCGCGCGATTTAACGTTAGCTAAGCGGAAATCGAATACAGAATTAGTCACGGTTTCGCCGGCTCTCCTAACCGTTCCTTTGCCTCTCGGCGCGAAAGAGCACTCTCGCGACGAAAATTTCAGTGGCTATTTACGGGGTAGAACGAGAGAGAGAGAGAGAGAGAGAGAGAGAGAGGCAAGGAAAGACGCGCAAGACTTTCAAAAGGACCACGCGCTCGTCTGACACAATTCGGGCGTGCAATCCTGCGCGCCTTTTGCTCCAGCCCGGGCGCGAAGAAAGCGGTGTTATTCACACGACGTTGCGGTATAATAACTTACCACGGATGTAGAATAAAATCTCCAACGACGCCCCCATCGCTTTGCGGTTTTCGAATCCACGTATCGATTTAATATTTCATATTCCGCCGAGCGAGAAGGAGCAGCCATTGTACGTATGATCCTGCCCGCATGCGAAAATGGAGTGACTCTTTTATTTCGTCGACGATCTTATCCTCTCCCGCGGATCTTGCTCTCTCCGTGAAATATCCGCGCCTGCCTCTGTCTTTCCCCCTCCTTCTCCCTCCTTTTTCCCTTCCCCCTTTCCCTTCCTCTCTCCCCCTGCCTCTTTTTTCCCGTTGGCGCGGCCAATCATGCCTACTCTTCAACATGCAAATCGTACAGTGCGCCGCGTATAGATTCGCCTGTAATTCCCTTAGCTCGAGATACTACGACGGTTATCGGC